TATATATATATATATATATATATATATATATATATATATATATATATATATATATATATATATATATATATATATATATATATATATATATATATATATATATATATATGTATGTATCCATATGTATATATATATACCATTTTTTTATTATCTTATTCGCATATTAGATGGATGATTTTTTTTACAATAGAATATAGTGAGGATGAAATTATATCCTTAAACTTATTATCAATGGTCAAAATCTTGACTAATCAAATTAGCTAACATCCGATAAGATTTCAAACTCTCAAAACATACATAAATGATTTAAAAGATAATATTATATAATATTTCATCATTATCTCTCTAATGACGTTATATATTTTGTTTATATCGTGACCTAGGAGTTGATATGACATAATTTAGTTCTAAAAGTGCGAGGTTATGCAAGTAGTTCCTCGAGGGAGAGATCGATGGGGAAGCGAGATCAGGCTGGAGAGGATGGCTCAGAGGTTGTGATCGAGCCTTCAAGAACGTCCCGAAGTAGAGTCATTTCATACTCAATCTACGCCAAGATCCTATACAACAAGTCGATGTCTGAGGGAGGGAGGGGGGATTCCCGAGTCGATTCCTTCAATGCTTAAGTTAGTAAGTAGAGAATCGACCCCTCTCCTAGGATAAGAAATCATTGTTTATACCTATGAAAATGATTAATGATTGATAATAACTGCAACCCATATGTTCCTTGTGACATGGGTCGATCCATCTAAGTTCGTGTGGTATGGCGTCGACTCATATAATCTCGTGCGATGTATAGTCGATTGGAAGTGCACCACGTTAGCTTGCTTCTATATAAGATGGATGTCTGGTTGTATTTTGCGTTGGTTCCATGGTGGTTGTCAACGACCCATGATTGATGTCGGAATATTTCTTATCCAATTGTATAATCCAAATACTTTAATTGATATCTAATGTATGATTTATAATATTTATTTCCCTTTTATTTTCATTCTATTGCGACGGATCGCCACTCCCATGTGGGTTCGATTGTGCCATGTCTGTGACAAACACACGCCTCTCTCTCTCTCTCTCTCTCTCTCTATATATATATATATATAGAAAGATACTGGTCCTTTCCATCTACGTCAAGCGCACGTGGGCGGATGACCCACCCGCCAATAATGCAACCTTATCTACAGCCGTACATCATTGATGATCCAATCCCTGCAACGCAACATGGAACGTCCGCTTTTAGCTGTCATATCACCCTCTCCTTTCGATGCTTCCATCCCACTGCTCTCATCTCCTCCCATGCCCGGAATCCCCCGTTTAGGCCATCTCCTTCCTCCCTTCCTTGTAGCACTCAACCTCTTAACTGGTCGATGTCTCAGACCAGTCTCCCATGCTCCCATTCCTTTCCTCCAATGCGACAAGGCATGGCTTTTGATTGCTTCCTATCATCAGTAGTAGCATGAGAGAACATGAAGCGCGTCCGAGATAACGCAGTCACAAGCGGAGACGAGGACGACAGCTTTCGTTGCTAAGATCGAAAGCTGGAAGGCGTGCAGTGTTTAGAGGTCGCCTGTGAATGATGGCGACTGCATGTACTGATGCAGCTACGAAGGAGACCCCAAAACACTTTCAGCATTTGACGATCACTATACTACTGTGTTATTACTGAAAGCTGAAGATTTTGAAGAGGAAGAGGCACTTCTCTCAAGTGCCAAGGCAGAAACAGTTTACAGCTTGGGGATTAGATACCATGGATTTGCACGAACTGTTTCGAGTACTCTCACTTGACAACTAGAACTGCTGTGCTATTGGCATATATTGATGATAAGTATAGACCAATCTAAGAAGATGTTGTTGTTTCTTGCTAACAATTACTCACTTTGATGGATGCTGCTTTCATCTCTTTTCATGAAGTACACGTATGTGATTCCAAACAGATAAAGAATCCTATTCAGACATTGAGCACAAAGATGCCATTGAACAGCTTGCGTGCATGTTAAACATTATGCACTAAGATGGATGACAGAACATGCAATGGTAGGAGGTTGATTCGGCATCCGAGAAAGTAAATCTATGTAATGTTCTGTAAACAGATCATGTTTTTTACTTAGAGTTAATCCAACTGACCATGTAATAATACTTGGTTAAGCATCAATCGAGGAGCGGAACCTTAATCTCTTAAGGAGGATTAGTATGCTATCCCTGAAATAACTTTTCTGTTGACCCATTCGTGGATATTGAAGAGAGTTGGAGATGGAGATAGTGCCAACTCCATTAATTAATACTCAAAATTTCCAAAGACACACATAGCAATTGGTTGCAATTGAGACACAAATGCTTCAACTTGGACTCATTCATCAACCCACATCTGATCCACCGTGGGCCTTCACACCACATCACAGCCATAACCCTGAGCTCCCCTCATCAGCCGCACGATCTCCATCGGACGGTCCTCCAATGACTAAAGGAGCCGATCTACTTCCCACCCTCGTCCGAATTGAGATAACCAAATCCACATGTATATACATATATATATGCCCACACAAAACGAGGATGAGTTCGGTGAAGTGTTCGATATGAGACTCTTCGGCGTCTCGGTTCGGCCATCGGCGCCTTCGTCTCTCCTCCGCTTCACGCCTCTTTACCATTCTCGACGTCGTATTCTGTCGCTTCACCCGCTGCGGCCGCCGGGACTCGCTGCCCGTTGCAGGTGATGCTGCTTTTTATCCGCCTTAAATGGATTCACTTTTTAGTTTCCTTGTCCTCTAATTAAGGAGAACAAACTGCGATTTTTCCTCAGCCTTTTTGGTTAGTAGTGCCATCTTTGCCCAAAACTATTGAGTTATCGGTCACGCATTGTGCTATTTGTAGCGCCATGGTTAGAATTTGATTGCTCTGGTTTTGGTTCTTGAAAGAAGTGGTTACCGTAAATTGTATCAAAATTTCGGTCTGAAGTAGATGTAATGACCTCTCTACCTTTCTCAACGTCGTATTCTTTCGCTTCGCCTGCTGCGGCCGCTGGGATTCGCCGCGTGTTGCAGGTGATGCTGCTTTTTATCCGCTCAAATGGATTCACTTTTTAGTTTTCTTTTCATGTAATTAAGGAGAACAAACTGTGATTTTTCTCATTATTTTTGGTTAGTAGTGCCATCTTTGCACAAAAGTACGAGTTATTGGTCTCGCATTGTGCTGTTTGTAGCGCAATGGTTAGAATTTGATTGCTCTGGTTTTGGTTCTTGAAAGAAGTGATCACCGTAAATTGAGTCAAAATTTCGGTTTGAAGTAAATGTAATGACGTTCGAAATCTGAAGGTTTTGTTATCTGCTATTATGGAACATCAATGCCCGCTGCTACAAGAATTGCAAGTTATGATGGATTGACTGGCCTTTATCTATTGATGTTTCAAGTAATATCAGTTAACATTAATGTCATATCCATACTCCAAAAAGCAGCAAAATGTTAGAATCAGCTGTTCATGAACCAAAAAACACAAAAAATATTCAACACAGACTACTCCATAATGACACATCAATACCAAAGCCTTCCCAAAAAGTGACCGGACGACTAGTCCATCTAGTCTTCTTCCTGATGCCACAGTTGCTTAGTATATTCAGCTTACAGCAATCTCCTTCTAGTATATAATTCATTTACCTAAATATATCGATGATGGATGGGTGCCATTGTCTATATCCTCAAATCCTAATTCAGATGTGTTTAGATATTCACTCCTTAGAACAGGAGATGATACTAGGAACTTGGTTGATGCAAAAGCATGCCTTTGCCCTTAATTTAAGAAAAAATCGTCCACTTTAATTACCCTGATTTCCAGGAAATTACTCATCTGAGTTGCTTATTTTTCTCTGTTCATTTCAGGTTGGGCAGCTTCACCTCTCAATGCAATGTGACGAATTCTGAAGTTGATTTTACCGATGTTGCAACAAATGATGTGGCCATGGGAGATCCTTCACCCCTCCCATCCAGTTGCTCTACGCCATTTGTACATCTATCATCAGATATCCTTAGTTCTGAGTTACAATTTCTTACCGAAGAAACCTATAAAACTGGTCTTCTCACAACACTGCCGGTACGGTCTCACTCTGTTCTATTACTTGCATTCTTGATATGAGAATTTATGTTCTTATTACTTCTGGAGTAAAATCTCATTGGGACACTAATTTTAGATTGACTAGTCTGAAATAAGGCACTAATAAAAATCAAAATTCCCTACTTCAGGTTCTCTCAAAGGAGGAACAAGATGCTCTTGCGGCAACTCCAGTTCACCCTGCTGGCTTAGTAGGTAAACTCAATTCTTCATTCTGTAACCATGTTATATGGATTACATTTCAATGATGGTTTTTGAGACTCTGGGATGCTTCTTCTAAAGCCTTATGTACCTATTCAAATTCCTCTGATTATTTAAAACTGCATTAAAACTATTTTCTTTCATCCACAACTTGCTAAACTCCATGGCTGTATTGTAAATTCATTATAGATACTCAAATGTGATGTAAAGAAATATAGAACATCTGAGGAACATCATCCATTGACAATTTATTGCATCAAGTTGGAGTCCTCTTGTGAGTCTGGGACTTCTGCTGACAGACCAATTTGGTCCCAATCCCCTCTCTAAGAAGTGGTATCAGAGTCAACAGTTTGGTTTAGTCAATCAAATGATATCGAGCAAGTTAAAGAAATGCTGGTGCAATCGTGAGTGTGGTAGACAAGCCAAGAGCAAAATGGCACAATGAGCAAGTACCATGGCAACTAAAGTCAGGAGCCACAACAGCACACCAAGAACCAGTACTGAGAACCAAAAGGGAAAGGTGACGAGTCAGAAGATATTAACACGAGGAAGCTGGATCAAGTCCTCATAAGAAGATATTGTCACATATGATGAACAGAAAAGGGACATATAACTCACAAGGGCCCATGACCCATTGGCTTAAATTTTTGAGCCAAGTTTAAACTGGTCATGTGTTTATGGTTTCTTTTATGGAGGACCAGTTTGAGCCAATTGTGCTCCCTAACATTAATCTGACACTCTTTCTATTTGTTGATAATAGTTCATCATTGCTCATGGTGGGTTTTTCATACTTCTGTTTGTCATTGACTCATTGTAACTGATTGCTGATCTTTGAACCAATATCTCCCAATCATGGTGAATTTAATGTTATACGAGAGGGTAACACTGGGTCCTTTTTGTGTATGGTTTGTCCTATTTAAAGTCCATTATGTTATCAATTTATTGTTTTCCTTTTTTTAGCTTATATATATATATATATACATATATATATATATATACATATATATATATATATATACATATATATATATATATACATACATACATATATATATACATACATATATATATATACATATATATTAAGTGTGCTTTTCACATGTTAGTTACATGCATCCTATATCTTGTTATAACTTCAAAGGTTATCTTGATGCCCAACATCTTGAAGTTGTTTCTTGGCTCTCCCTAGGTTTTAAGTCAGAGCTGTTTGTTCCCATGCAAGTTCTGAACAAATATTCCTTGGTTTCTATAGGAGATGGCATTTCATGCAGGTTCAGTTACCAAACTCAACCCTAATTGGGCATCTTTTCCCTTTTTCTTTTCTTGTTTTGGAAAGAAAAATCAAAGATAAAGGAAAGAAACATGTCCAGCGTGTTTCTTTTCTTTCTAAATAAAATTAATCTTTGTTTCTATAGTAACATCTGGACATCTGGAAGCTAAATTTTCTGCTTTCAAAAACCATGGAAACAAAAAACAACAGATCATGATACTGGGACTCATGATGGGACTGGTGTCTAGAGGTTCTTTCTTCATGAGGGTGGTGTGTTCTTCCAGAATACAATAGCAAAATAAGAAAGTTTCTCTTTCATGTTCTATAAACACAGAGAAAAGAGATGATGTGAAGAGTTACCTTACCTTTAAGAAATTACTTTTCCTCCCAAACTTCCTAAAATTTCTAATTACTTAACTTGACCAAAATCATAAATACAGGTATCATAAACTTTAGCTTGATTCTTGTACATATACAGTTCACATTGAGTTTTATTATTTTATTCAATGATATCAGGCAACACAGGCTAGTATATGGTCCAGTAGACCAGTCCCATACCAGTCCAATAAGTAGTTGTAACCATTGTTGGACCTGTATTTAAAACCTTGAACACCATAATGTTCTTTTCACAGATCACCAGCAGATTGCACTGTATTTATTATGTGTTCAGTCATTTAGCTTACATAATTCTATATATCTTTGATAGCTTTATATGCCAGTTTCTTAGCTGGGAATTTATCGGAACATGTCTGGAATTTCACTTGGCCTGCTGCTGTTGCGATGCTTCATCCAAGTCTATTGCCTGTAGCTGTTGTTAGTTTCTTCTCTAAGGTAAGGGCAATTGATTTTTTTTTCACAAAAAATCTTGATTTAATTTTGAAGCTTGGAAATGTAATGTTGTTGCAACTGTTGAATGCAGTTTGCAATCCTAGGTGGAGGTCCTTTGATTGGAATTTTTATGGATTCTTTACCTAGAATTCCTTCATATCACTGTTTGAATCTTATTCAGGTATGTAACATCATTTTTTTTTTACTCATTGCATCTAAGAAGAACTAGTTGACCCTTTCTGGCTCCTCAAATTGGTTAGTCTGTATATTTTCCCAGACAGTTGGCCAGCTGCTTTCAGCTGCAATGATCATGTATGCACTAGATACGGTTCGTCATTCTTCTGTGTCATCTTTGCTTCTTCAACCCTGGTTTCTTGTACTGCTGGCTGCCACAGCAACTGAAAGGCTAGCAAGCTTGGCACTGGGGGTCACCATGGAACGTGATTGGATTGTGCTGGTAATGCTGCTTGATTCCTTTGTTGATGTCCTTGTTGGTATGTGATTTGACCATTTTCTAATGAGTTCTTCATTTTGTGAAGTTAGCAGGCACAAATAGACCGATTGCGCTAGCACAAGCCAATGCTATTAATAGTCGAGTTGATCTTCTTTGTGAGGTATCATTTTTGAAATTTTTGGTTCCATTGTGTTATTCGAAATCATTATGTTATACCATGGTTCAGAGAACAACAGACTTAAAAAAAAAAAACGATGTGTTGCCATTTCGTATCATACCTTACTGTTCCTTGGTGATAGTATTATTGCTCTGTGCTGACTAGCACACACCAATTAAATTGCCAAGGCTGCATAGGCACACATGACGGTGTAGTAGAGGAACACTTAACAGACTAGCATGGTATATTCACTCCACCTCAGTATGTTCCTTTTGACAGATAATAACCTAATTACTAAATCTTTTCTGCTGTTTGTCGGTCTGGATGCATTGCAGTCAAAATTTTTCACTATATGATGATCGTCTGTGGCTAAATTATTTAACCATTGAAAATTTTCATGATAATTTTGTCTCTATCTTTTTTATGAGGATCCATTATTCTGAGCAATTTGCTGAATCAGACATTCTAGTCAAAAAAGGAAAAAAGACTTTTCAGACAATTAGAATTGATTATTTATGGAACTTTTTGATGATGCTTTTGCATTTTATTTTCATTGGCAACATATTGATGCATAGAAAGCTTTATCTAAATGTGCATGTAATTAGAATTCTTTAGGACAAAAAATATAGGTTGTGTGCTTTATTGGTAGTTGCAAAGTTCTTCCAAGTAATTTGTCTATTTTATGTCCTTATATATTGTTGGTGCAGGTAGCTGGTGCTTCGCTTTTTGGCTTTCTTTTGTCTAAGTATAAACTTGCAACATGCATTAAACTTTCATGTGCACTGACTCTATTCACACTACCTGTTCTGGTAGGTTTTTATCTTTTCACAAGACATCTTACTATCCGTATCTCTTCTGGTTTTCCACACTAATCTTTCTTTTTGCAGATTGTACTGGGTCAGCTAATCAATAGACTTTCCAGTGGAGTTCTTGATCGCTCCATGTCTCCTCAAACTTGTGACAAGCCTTTGACAGCTTTTACTTTGCTCAATTTGAGAAAGATAGGTGAAAATTCTACCTTGTAGAATTTTGTATTTCTCCTGAAATCTTAATAAGGTAAGCTAATCCTTTTGAAACTTTTCAGTTGAAATTGGACTGACTGCCATAAGATATGGATGGATGGAATATAAGCATCAACCAGTTCTTCCAGCTAGTGTGGCATATGTTCTCCTTTGTTTGAATATTGCTCTTGCTCCAGGTGCAATGATGACTGCATTCCTGATACATCATGGTACGTCAACTATTCTCAACATGCAAAATTTTCAGTGACAGATCCAGTTCCACATTTAATTATATATTGCCTTTCTGGGAACTTTGTATTACTATATTTTTTTGGTCATGTGGATTAACTGTATTGCTCAGAATTGCCTTGTTCAGAGACTTACTGATAACATAAAATATTGGTGTTAGTTAAGACTTCAAGCTCAGTTGCAATGTATTCCTATCATATGATATGGTGAAACTTAGTACAACATGATCCATTATAATCTGAGGTGCAACGAACACAGTACAGGAAGATGCCACTGCCTTCCACTGGCTTTGGCTTGCATTCTGCATCCAAATTCTTTCAAGATTATCAAACTTCCAATGTTTTTAACATTATTGTATTGTGTTGTCCTAATCGGAAAACCCTTCTGAATATTTTCATTTGGCTCTCTGGTTAACACTTCATGCTCAGTTCCACATCTTAACTGTATCCCCTCTTGCCTTTTCCAAGTCCATGAAAACTTGAAAATAATTCCCTGAAGGCATTGGCCTCTACTTCTGAAGTGGTAGTATAGGTTTCTTTCCTGTTAACTAATTTTTTTTGGCTTTGAGTGAAACCATCTCTTTTGTTGCTTTAAACGAGGAATGAAGGTTTTCTCTGCCGTTTAAAAGTTATCAGGTAACCTGTAGATGCTCTATTTTAGAAAGTTACAAGGAAATATATTTTGTGTACAATATGTACCAATCAGGCCAACCATATTTAAGGTGTATGAACACCCTCACCACAGCAGAAGTTCATTACAGTTCCCTGGTGAACCAAGAAGTTATGAACAGTATGCTCCAATGTAGTCCAAATGGCAATCTGTGACATTGCTACTGTTTACTTATGCATGTCCCTTCTTACTGCAAATTGAAAGTTAGGAATAAATAAAAAGAGAATGTTGAATCATTGGATACTCTTGTTATAGTGTTGTAAGGTATATGGTTACTCTCTTAGCCTTTGTGGTTTCTCTATCTGGTTGATGGTTACTTGGAATGGCTTTCAAATAATAAGCTAATATTTGATAAATCTCTCTCAATAGTTGTGTTTGGTACTTCTCTTGTATTTTCCAATGGAAGCTTGTATTATTTTGAGTTTGCATAGTTTGTTTCCCTTTAGCAACCTTTACTATTATGTTCATAACAGTGGATCTTTTCTGTGGATGTTGGTTATTATGTGTGAATTATGTAAGCTTTGTTGCATCTAGTAATTATCATTTCTTCTATTCTCTCCAAGGTGCTGGATACAGTTTAAGATCAAAATTGAGCTTGATCATCCAAAATTTTCACACCTCACTGTGGTGTCTTTACCTGATTCCTCAACAGTTGGAAAAAAATGCTTATTGTCTCTATGGTTGTGTACTTCTCAATAGTCAAAACTTTTTTCCTTGTTTAATAGGAATTGCTCCATCAGTCATCGGTGCATTTGGTGGATTATCCGCTCTCATGGGTGTCGGTGCAACATTCATATCTGCAAATTTAGTCAGAAAGCTTGGCATTTTGAAGGTTCGTCTCTATCGAACCATAGCTATTAAATTCCTTATATCTTCTTGTCAAAATCCCTGATCTTGATGACACACTACATGTATCAGGCAGGAGCAGCTGGGTTGATACTCCAGTCCCTGCTTCTCACCATAGCTGTTGCTGTGTGTTGGAGTGGTTCAATATCCATGCCAGGACCTCTACATCTCTTCCTATCTTTAATTGTAAGGACGGAGATCCAACTCTTCCATTCCTACACTATAATGAAGAAGCATGAACAATGACAGACAGATTAGAACTTGTAACCAACACAGTGACCCAAGCTCCAAATAACAGTGTCTTTCTTCGCGGTTGCAGGTACTGTCAAGATTGGGCCATATGTCATATAGCATCGCGAGCATTCAGATCCTTCAAACAGGAGTTCCTGCTGCAAAAGCTAACCTCGTAGGAATAACGGAGATGTCCATTGCGAGCCTTGCAGAGCTCGTAATGTTAGCTGTTGCAATCATTGCTGGCAATGTTCGACATTTTGGTTCTCTGGCATTGCTCTCTGTATCGTCGGTTATTGCGGCCACATGGATCTTCTGCCAGTGGTTGGCAAATCCAACAGAGGAGCAGAGAAGTCTCTTTGCCTTTGATCCTCAGCTTTAAGGTATTCATTTTAGACGTATATATTTGGTGCATTTGCAATGCATGCCATTTCTCGTAAATTATAGCCTCAACTTACTTGAATTCTATCAGATTGAATTTTTCTTTTTAACAGTCCTTTCACACAAGCAATTTCTCTGCCTGCAGGTATCAAGGATACATATATCAATGTCTCAGATTTTGTATTGACAGGAGCCTTTATAGAGAGAGAGAGAGATAGAGAGAGAGAGAGCATGCCATGGTGGACTCACAAGATGGACATGGCAAAAGCTACTTGGGCTAAGTTACCCCTGTATGCTGGGATCCACACTATTGCGCACTAATTAGGCATGTAAGCGGTAATATATATTATTTTTAATGTAAGAGGTAATGTTAACTCCTCAACTTTATAGTGTGATTTAATTCAACTAAACAAGCATTCAACTTTATAGTGTGAGGCAAAAGAGCATTTGTGGCTATCGGAGTCAGTCCGTAGGTTCGGAAGATTCAAAATCTTTTAAGGTTTACTTGACACGGAGCTATGAGATTTCTTTGAGATGTACTAAGCCCTTATTCTAGCACCAAGCTATTATACTAATTTTTAGACTGTTTGAGCTAGAAGCTGACTTAGATCATTCGAGCCTATCTCAAGATGGAGCTCATCCAATCAAACATCTCAAACATGCAAAACTACTTTAAGGTATTCATGAAAAACTCCTATGATACTTAAGTCAATAATTTAGTTAAACAAGTTAGACTTATTGTTCAATCTCTTTTATAATAAGCATTTGGGAGGATCTAGTTTATTTGGTAATAGAACTAATCATAATCATTGTCTTTATTGATGTTGAATCATTATATCTATTTGTTAAGTCGGTTGAAATTATTGTTAATTAATATTGGGCTATCATACTGTTTATCCGATATTAAATCGGTCATGTGTTGATCATGTAGCTTGGCCATTTAGAGAAGAAGTATCAAACCCTACGCAATAGTACTAATGGAGTAATCATGTCATTTTTGTCGTAACATATATAACAAATAAATAAAATCATAAAAATATATTACCAAAATATCTTTGGATTACTTGATGAGATGACCTAACTTTGTCGATATATAATTATATGGGTTTTACTTATTAATAAGATTCACGCGTAGGTAGATAACTTTAGAAAGAGAGCCCATGTTGGGAAATCTTGGGGTGACATCACATGTGCAACGGAAGAATAGAAAATAAAATCTCTAATTCTCAAATATATATTTGTCATCGTGCGAAGATTGATCTGCAAAAATCCACGAAATAGAAAACCATGTGTGAGATAGATTATGTTACCTAGGAAGGTCGTATATCCCTGAATCCCTGCAGATCTTTAGGAGAGGGTGAAGGAGATCAAGCGCCCTCATCTTTAGCGGTGATCCATACAACAGGGCTGCGATGATGCTCTTCAAAACTCTAAGCATGCTCTGAGATAGAGAGGGGGAGGAGAATATGAGAAGAAGCAAAGACTTTAGCCTATAAACTATTGAAACCCTCGTATTTATAGAAGTCCCCTATCAACTTAACCATAATGGATCTTCCCCTATTGGGTATTGGATCTTCATCAAACTACCCAAGCCTCTTAAATTATTGAATCTCATCCATATGATCCAATAATTTAGGGGCTTATTGGATATCCAATAATTTATGGGTTTATTAGATATCCAATAAGATAGGGGCTCCAGCGGATATCTCATATTCGAATCTCTACTCATCGCAATGCTTACCATATGTGTGTGACCTTCTAGGCCCAATATCGAACTAGCCGTGAGTCATACCTGTCAGAACTCCTTCTCGCTTAGTGAATTATTATCTCCATAATAATTCACTTTACTCATCGACTACGAACGTACTGGGCCACTACGTCGTAATCCCCAAACGATACAGGGGAATCCAATCCATTGGATTTGTCTATCCTTAGTTATCGTATACCTATAGTTTCTTATCCATCTAATATCTCAGAGACTGTATACCGGGCATAATGCTTTCAGACCTAGACGGTTTTTACTCGAGTCTCGCTCTAATCAGATTCTCTCGGAGAACTTTTTCTCTGTCAATCCGAATGACCCTGGCCAAAGATTTGTCTAAGCAAGAACATATGAGACATTCCTCTTATGACACCGAGAGTGGATGATTCTCTATCGACACTCAATA